CCGCCTCTTCGAAACATCTCTCGATCTCTCCGCGATCGATATCGCTGCCGATCGCCCGCCGATCGATATTCTCTTTAACGATCCTACTCGAAACCCGATTCAAAGAGAAAATAGGGACTTGCTTGCTCGGTGGAGACAATCGATATAGATAATAATCATTCGTAGAGAAAGACGAAAACTCGGGTGAAAAAGAAAGAAAAAAAAAAAAAAAAAAAAATAAGATTGTGCTTTACGTCGAAATACGAATTTTGATCGTCGTTGATGACCTCCCAACGCACGCGATTTCGTACCATTTGCAGCGATAAAAAATATTTTAGGAAATATAGGGGGCGAGCCACTCTCTACGAACATTCGTGAAACGAATATTCCAGAGAGCGAGATGCGAGAAATAAGCGTAAAATAAGCGAGGGAGGGAGGGGAGAGGGGAGAAAAAGGAAAAATTTCTCTTCGTAATAATATATCTCGGTTTCCCCCTCCCTCGAGAAGATGAAGCGAAGAAAAAAAAAAAAAAAAGAGAGAGAACGAAGTTCGACCGAGGGATCGATACCAAAGGGATCAAGGAGGGATCAATCTCGAAGAGAAAATCGATCAGGGGCCGGGTTGGTGTCGTTCAATCCTGGCGCCACGTTTGTTATATCCTCCAAGAGGGAACGGAGGGAGTCCACAGCCATCCGAATGATCGTTGGTATCAACGCCGATGTCAAACGCTACGCGNCCCCTCGATCCGACACGGACACCACGCAGCTCCACGGATCCTCCCCCTCCGGCTCTGATCGCTTGTTGAACGAGCTGTACCTGGTTCGACCGAAATATTTCATGTTAATCCACTTCTGTCCGATAAACGAGTATAATTGATTGTCCAATTAGAATGGAGTAGTAATGCGAGGTTATTTTTTTATTAGAAAGTAGGGAAAAGATATTTATTTATCAAAAAGTAGAATAAAAGATAATTAATTAAGATTATGGAGTAATTGGAATAATCATAATCCAATCGTCTTAAAGTTACTTTATTAAAGTTTTACACTATAGCTACTTGCGATTATTATTATCGTTTTCGAATTTATCAATTTTATTTATAACCGAATCCGATAAGCGTACGCCGATCGTTTTATTACTCAGACGAAGAGAAGTGGAATAAAACAATCATGATCAGGTTATAGAAAACAATCGTAGAATAACGCGATAGCAAGTAGCATAGACCGATCATCGAATAAAAGAAAAATTAAAAGGAATTAAATAGTGTAAATAATGTAAATGCTTTACATTTCCCTCATCGAAAGAAAAAGAAATTTGAAACACTCAACGTACCCGCTCATAAAATAACTAATTAAAAATTTCGAATAAAATTACTTTATTAAAACTCTTGAATAACATTTATTCATAATTATTAATAATTGATACTTTCGTACCAACCTCGATCATTATCCCGTTTCTGAACAATAAATTATCAACTTTATCAACTTTATCAACTGAATCCAACAAGTGTACGCCGACCGTTTTATTCATCCAAACGAAGATTATAGAAAAGAATCGTAACCGGATAAGTGGAATAATATCAAGTAGCATAGATCGACGATTGAATGAAGCAGAGAAAGGAAAAGAAGGAGGAATAAGCGCGTGCTTACGTATTCTTCCCCTCGTCAAAGAAAGAGAGGGGAAAGAAAAAGATTTGGAATACTCGGCGTTATTACCCGCTCCTGAACTCTCCCCTCCTGAATGCGGCGGGTTGACTGTGCCACGCGTGCGGCAGATGCGCCTGTTGCGAGGGTGGCGGCACGGCCAGGTCGACGGGCTGGCTCTGGGACC